GGGGCTGGTAGCTGCAGTTGCCATGGTCGAAAGTTGCTAATGCAACAGTCCACAGCTTACCACCTGTCTCCGCTACCAGTCCCCCTAAAGCTGCGCAGCTTTTTGACTCCGATTCTCTCGCTCCGTCCCCCACCTGTCCTGACAATCGCACTATTTTTTTTCTACCAACCCACCACGTTTATTTAGTTAATTACCGCATAACTGTAAAGGTCTGACGAAAATTTAGCGAAAAGAAAAGGTATGTTCGCCAATCTATCTCCTTAAAATTTTCAACGAGAAATTTCGAAAAGTTAAAGTTAAAGTTAAAGTCAACCCTAACTCTAACCTCGTTGGAATCTATCTAAACACATTCTGGGGGTTCCCATCACCGTATCCTACTCCTGTCACAATAGCAAACCCCACAACACTACCTTAAGAAGACGCCTTCTTGTGCAAACTGAAATAACTACGGTTAACCCTTATTTCGCCTGAGGAAACGTGGTGGACAGGATAAGGGAATTATTGCTGCTAAAACTAGCCACAAGTCCTTACCGGAAATTTGCATGTCGATTGGACAATTTTCAAAGTTAAAACTGCCGCAACTGTCCGACAAAAACTGAATTTTGAAAGCAGGCCCCTCTGTCTGATTAACGCGAGATCTGACTAGGGAGATATACAGGAAGAATAAAGGTTGTATAAGGTACATAGCAACAGCATATTCTTCGCATTGCGAAACGTCCCGCTAAAAGCGGAACTCAATATGCTGCAATCGCCGCAGATCGCGCCAAGGAAATGAAACACTAGTTATACAACAGAGCATACAAAGACCAAGAGTATTAATCAGCTTCGTAAACAATAGGATAAAGAACAAAGAGGCAGTTTTAGCGTCGAAAGAAGAAAAATAAGGACCTGACTGAAAAATACGTTTGCCAAGCTGACTTTCCTACTAGAAACAGAGATTCAGGTAGAGGGAGCATCGATTCCCCAGAAGAAGGTGTGAGTAAGGAACTTCTGGTGCTTTATCTATCTAAGTACCAAAGGAAATTGCTTGAGAACCCTCCAAATCGTTTTCACTTTTTTTCTCAGTCGTACTCTGGTCTGGACGTCCTCCCTATGTTTGGAAAAGGACTATTTTATATCTCAATCACAGGGTTGGGTCCAGATTAGGTGCTCACCACTATTGGCCAGCAAGCTCCACATGCATTTTCGTAAGGTAGGGGAAAGGACTGTCGTGACTAAGTCAAATCGAAGCGCACTTTCGGAACGTTCGATGCTTCCGGCCTCTGTAATAGCCAATCACAAGCCGAATCACACAGCACCTCATGTGACGACTGCCGAGCAGACATCTTTTCAGACACCGGCCGCTGGCTTGCGGTTGTGCGGTCGTCTGCCGGTCAATTTCCTCCTGCCTATTCTCCCCTTCATTCTGTATAGAATTTACTGTCCCTTCCACTCTGGCTTCTCATGACTTCTACCCTCCGGGCCTGAAGGTCGCAGTTGCCGGGATTTAACTTACTTAATTCCCTGCGATACCCTCTCTAGAGACCGTTCTACTGATGCTGGTTCCGCCCACAATGACCGAGTAGCTTTGAAGACACTGTCAGGTCAGTTGTACTCAGACCATAGTATAAAGAGGATAATGCCCTGCATAGGGGTTGCTAGCAGAGGAAAGGAATACAAGGAGGAGTCTTTCTTTTTCCTTTGTCATTATCGACAATCTGTGGCCAGGCCTGAGCAAGCCTGGAGCTCGAGGGCTGTGTGTGTTAGAGGGCTATGGACTGTTTAAAAGGGAAGCAGAATAGTGAAGGGCGCTTCCACGTGCCTTTGAATGTGGTACTCTTTATGAAGCCATTTATGTGACAATTAAAGGGGGTTTGCCCTATTAGATGCAATTAAAGATTAGTTGTTCACTGGCCTTTTTCCACACAGTTGGCTACACCCGACGGTAGAGTGATATCGTTCGCGCACAACAACGACGTGTGGACTGACCTTAGAGGGAACATTTTTGAGGCTGCAATGTACGTTCGCCTAGGCGAATGCTGACTCCTTTATCTGTCTTCTAGATTATGAGTTCACTAGCTTCACTACGGAAGTTGCAGTGACATAATTGGTAGCTGTCTTGTCCAGAAAATTTAGGCTAAAGTTCGATTCAAACTATGAAGATCAGCCGCTAATGAGCCTGTTATATCCCCGCATGAAACAAGTGGATCTCATCTGCGTCGCCAGTTGTTATTTCAGAAGAAGAAGAAGCGATCACTGGAACAATCGTAAACAAGTCTGCGCATTTCTCAGACTTGTTTACGATTACCTATGACTAAGGATTCCCGACGGAATCCGAAAAGTCAGGACAACAAAACTCTTGTTCCAGTGATTGCTTCTTCTTCTTCTTCTTCTTCTTCTTCTTCTGAACTGTATCCTGGAAGTCGGATATTCTCCTCTATTAGCAGTTTTTATTTCCTCTACTAATAAGCAGAAGAAAGGCAAACATCCGGTTCTGGTTAGCAAGCTTTTATTCGGATAACGCAGAGACAACGGAGTCCTTGGCTCCTCCAGTACAGCCTATTTATTAGGTGCTGGCCTTCTAGAATACTCCTGGCCCAATAGCATGCGACCGCTGTTCTATCATGCCGCTGATCGATAGTTTGCCACGCTGTGTGAGCGGTCGTTA